GCCCTCGCGGTGTCAATTACGTTACACGTGTTGCACCGTGGCAATTGTGTTTCAGTATCGTTCTGGATTCTCTTTTCCGCCGTATCCGAGCCGATTAACACGATGACACGTTTCATTTTTCTCACTTTGCTTCCAGCTGGAACGTCCAACACGTTCCGTTGTCTATTTTTCTGCATCTCTTTCTTCGCGGTTGCGAAACCTCGCGCGGCGACATACACACATACGCACGTATAGCGTGTCTCTGTATTCGAAAAGAAGCGAGTCACTTTGCGTGGAATTCCTTCCCCGGACGCTGTTCGCTTGGTTTCGTACCGTAATTGATGCGAAGCACGTGCTTTCAGTGTTTGTCACGTGGTCGTGATCGCGTAGATCACCAGCCGCAAGTTTCCCGCAATTCGTGCAAGAATCGCATGATTTACCAACGAGTGGATTTATCGTTCGACCGCGTGATTAGATACTTCTCCAACGCGCATTTCTTTGTTAATCGCTTTATTGTTTCCAAACGATCCTTTGAAATAATAAAGCGCGCAATTGATTTTCACAATATTTGCTCTTTGTCGTTCTTTCATCTTGGCTGCGTGTTCCCTCGTTGGAAGAATATTAACAATCACGTTCGAAAGATAGTTTTGTCACGTTTGTGATTGAAAATTTAATCGAAGTTGGATAGGATGTTAAAATACAATTGAATAGAAATTGATATTCCATGTTCCATATGTATTAGAATGTTATATAACGCAGAATATTTATTTATCCAAATATACTTTGCACGGAGCGGAATATTATTCAAATCGGTTAGGCATTAAATCGGGTAAAGTGTCATTAAAATTACCGCGAAAAGTCCAAAGGTTCGACAAGCAATTTTTCATGAATTTTAAATAGCGTAGAGGGTTTTTAAATATTTGTTATGTTCCTATTTAGGTATATAGATTCATGCGTACAAAAAAAANTTCAATGAAAGCATTTTTAACTTGTTATATGTTTAAAGTGGTTACATCCATTTTTTTTTTTTTTTTTTTTTTCTAAATATATGAAATAATGAAATTTCAAAATGTCTATGGTTCGAATACTTTCGTGAGCCATTGTATACTCGTGTTTTGAGGTAATTTAATCAGGCAAACGAGCAGAGAAACCGGTTGCGAATAGTTAATTGCGTATCTTCGTTTGACGATTGTATTTAAATGCAACTTGCGTCCGCGATAATCGTTTTATCGTATTTACATACATATGTTGGAAAATGTCACGGAGTTTTGCGATGACCGAGTGATTCATAACCGCGTAATACTTAGACTGAGGATTTCTGTGCTAACTCATATTAACTCACGATACGATTGAAAAAATAAAAACATTCAATAGAAAATATTAATATACGAGATGTTATAGAAACTTAGAATACAGAATTTTTAATATTTTATATCATTTCTCGCATTTGTATAATTTATGTAATTTCTAAAATTTCCTACAAATTTACGATTTATTAAAATCCACAGTTTATTTGTTACTGAACTATTAAAATTCATGCAGATTTATTTATCCTAACAAGCAGAGATTGGCAACTCTCTTGTATAGTATAATTAGTAAAATTTTGGGCATTCACGTTTATTCTGCGTTTCTTTCATTCTCCGTGATGAAACATTTTCAAATTGAGCAATTTATGATAAAACTTAAATTGCTACGTTCCTCGAACTCAATTATATGCTTCAACTTATTTTCCCCGAGAACTCAACTTTTCCATTCGAGAATATCGTTTATTGGACTAGTACTAAAACACACATAAAATGCACATGGTAAATATGGAATAATCGATTGCATTTCTGCACTATGTTCTTTCGCGACCAACTGTTGTAACATGTATACGTCCTCACGTGCTTTTTAATAGCCTTTTAGCCGTTGCATCCGTTGCTCACAAATGAATTTCCTCGTTATTTTTACAACGACATTAAAGCGATTTATTACTTTTCCTCGATACACGAGAAAAAAAATGGAAAATAAGTGATCAACAGATGGAAAAATACGTATGAAATGTGCGTTTATGACCTAAAAATACAACGTGCAAAAATATGTAAAATACGTAGCAGATGAAGCGAATTCTTTTATATTCATAAAAATGTAAAACGATATAAACGTGCGCGATCTGGCCGTCGAACGACTTTTCCATCGTAAAACCGAAATTGTGTAGAAATGTCGTGCAGGATGGATTGTTAAGTTTTTTTGTCTGTAACGTTTATAAATTCTCGTTTAATATTTTTTTTTTTTTCTCCAGTATCATCATCTCTGTTACAGTTATCACCATTAACTGGTTTGGCATAGCAAACACAGAATCCACACGGCTAGAGGAGCCGCGATTTTATGAGATACATCTGCGCGACACAAACCCGGCGAACCTGCTCCGGAAATAACAATCAAGCCTGCGCCTGTAATCGCACGTGTCGATTATACACATCGCGTGACAGCTATTAGCAATTCACCATTCAATTATTGCCTACGTTAAAATTTACGTGACAGCTAATGATATGCGATTTTTTTTTTTTTTACTTCGGCTCGTTAACAAGTGTCGTCAGCTCGATAACAAGAGTTCCTTTAAGGAACACCGGATGTCACGCGTTTTCACCTACCATCACGAAAATCACACGTCGCAGTGTGAACACGAAACACGAGAGGCAAGTAAAGTGGATCGCATGTGGCAGAAATGCATGGAACTCCCTCTCATTGTTTCGCAAATGCGTGGTCGAGCACTATTATCAACGCAGCTTCTCGTAATACGTACATAATTAAAAAACGCGACCAAGTATGAACCCTGAGGAACGATCTGACAGGAATGATCTCTCGTGAGTCTGCGTTTCCTCATTTATTTCATGTCTGTGGGGAAGAAAGAAGTAAACAGAATTAGAATTATTGATGATTGAAGTGTAAGACTTGTATCAGAGAAATTTATGTGAAAAATAGGGAAACGTTTATAACGCAACAGAAAGAATACAACCTCTTACAGTGGAGTGTCTTATAAAGTAAAATGCTTGTAATGATATAATATGTCACAACGAACAGAGGAGAAACAGAATTGATAAATTTATAAGTACAATTTTTAAATTTAAACATTAGTATAAAAATCAATTTATAATACAAATATATTTGTATGTTATTGTTCTTACATAGATGTATCTTATAACAAACGAATTATAATTATTTATATGATTTTATGAAATTATATACACCTATGAATCTATTAGATTTTCTTAAAAAAATTAAAAATTAATCACTGACCATATTAGTATTAAAAATAATAACATGAAATAATACTATTCTAAGTAACAATTTTTAAATGAGCTGGAAAAAAAGTTTAACTCGTCAGAAAAATTATTGGCTAAATTGCAAGTTCTGAACGATACGAATAAATCTGAGGAAGTAATATAATAAGTGAAATAGCTGAGGCTGTCTAACGTGATGCATAGTTGCATTAAAATTCAATTAACCCCTTATCTTATAAAGTCGTACTCGTGGGACAAGATTATGATTCAATTTCGAAGGAAAAGCGAATTGCGATCCTGCGAAATTTCAATTGTCACTTTAAATTTTAAGTTTCTCTCACGTTGAACATTAACAAGTATAATGCTTTAATATTTACAACAATAACATTAATTTCAATAAGTAACGCTTGTCGAAGATGCTCGAAAAGAAAATCATGAGACAAAGATGGTTGAAAAGGAGGAGATATAGAAAGAAAAGATTAATTTAATTTGACATAAAATCCGCGATACACGAACATTGACATTTCGAGGTTTTTAATTCGCAAGCCACGACGTCTACGGTTTTTCGAGCAACACTGTGTTATTCGATGGTTAGACCGAACGTCTTCGTGTTTGACGCAGGATAAACATTTCGTGGAAAAGTGTAACGCGCAAAGATTCGATAAAAAATAAGCGAGAAGATAAAAAGGATGCGTGCGTGCTCGCGCGGCGACACGAACAACGTACTTCCCGTCGAGGAAGTTTAATTATTATAAAATCGCGTGTGCATCGCCGGTAACAGCCGTGGCAGACGGCCGTGCCCGCATTATTTCGCAATCCCACGCGCGTTTCTCCTTCATGAACGTCGCTGAAAGATGAGAATTCGGGGGAACGATTTACACGTTATCGGTCACTCTCTCGCGAAGAGTCGTGTATTCGAGCGCCGCCAGTGCTACCGACGAGTCGTTATCGCGTTCACGCGGATTCCGCTTCGATAACGAGCCGACAGAAAATTTCTTTTTTCCAACGTGTCGCTGCCATTGCGACCGGCCAAGGTAAATCGTTCGCGAGGGACCAAGACTACTGAGTAAGGTGTCCAAATTTCATCTCCCCAGCGAGATAATTTCGCATCAAAGACAAAATCAATTTTTCAGTCTGAAGAAATTAATATAATCACTTTGAACTCTTAGTAGAGACTCTGTCAATTTTCGTGATCAATTCATATTTCAGAAATGAAATAAAAAATATATATATGGATATGTGAAAGAAAGTATTCTCCAACTGAATGATGAAGAGAGTGTTCCCAATTTCGTCTCCCCGTCGGTTCTAGTAGTAAAAATGTTAAAAGAATTTCATAGTCGTCTTTTGTATCTTTTAAAACATGTTTTATTATGAAAATAATGCTTTCAGTGATTTTACGAAGATAATTTCCTACTTTGCGATGTAAATACATGATACAAATTAGACACGAAACCATTTTTGAACGTTAATTGTCAATTCTAATCAACTAAGTGACAGCACGAGTTACTGAAACATCATTTATATATTAAACAAACTCACAAAAGAATAAAACTCTATAAACGACGAATTCATTTAATTTTTGCCATCAACAGATTTATTTAGCAATAGAGACTGACCAGGGGATGAAATTTGGGTTCGTTGCCGTAATCGGAACGAACAGTCTGTCCCTCGAGAAACTTCACCGAATGATTTTGCCAAGAATCCTCATCACCATAATCATTTGATGGTTTCACCTGTGCGTTCGATTTATTTTTTTAGACCGTGGATGCAGCCGGGTGGAGGTGGCGCGGCCCACGCAGGTGGGACAGGTGACGACGAGGCTCCGAAAGATCCCGGTGTTCGGATCACTCATCAATCTTACACCGAAAAAGACTACGAAGGTATCGATATCACTTCCGTTTTCATTCTCATCGTCTGAAAAGAGGCTTTCGTCGATCCTCTAAAGTTACTTTTCGCACTTTTACGTCCCCTGTACGATTTAATCAGGCCGACGATGGCTGCTGTTCGCGCGTAGGTCAGCCGGACTGATCTACACAGATCTGGCTTCGGTGTTTGCTCATAGAACGCGTTGCCGGTGCTTCGAAAATCGTTATTTCGTTCAGCAATGTCGTTCAACATCGGGCCCCCGAGGTCACCTGTCCCGGTCTTGCGATCTTGAACCGTCGACATTCTACAGACGATCGAATCGATTCGGATTATCTCGGCGAACTCGTAGCTGTTTACGTTGACTAACGCAGATTGGATTCTCGAATGCGGGTCAATTTGATTCTTAGTAACAAGAGCTAGAAAGATGGAAATTATTGCTCAAAATATTATGTAATAAATAATTATAAACATAATTTTACGTACAATTTGCCGTTCCGTGTAATAAATATTATACGTGTGCAATGTCGCATATAGATGTATAATTGTGTTACAGTAATAACATTATTACATACATGAGTATTTAATAAGAAATAATAATACACATGCATTATTTAATATTTATTTGTGCGTAAACTTACTAACGTACGTGTCGTTTTGCGTTACATTTACCATCGGTAAATCATTGGCTCAATGTAGCAACGTGAACGTTCGTTTCTTACAGCTCAGAAACAGCGAAACGAGAATTATTCAGAGTCAAAGTGACCCTGCAGCCGCCGAGCGAGGGTTAAGAAACGTCGGGTCGTGTCGAAAGAAGCAACCTGACGACAAAGGTGTGTCGGTCGACGGTCAAAGATGCATGTGCATAGGGGAGACACCTCGAGTGTCCTCGACCGATGGAAAAAAGATCGCGAATGAATTTCTCTCTCTGCCGGGAGAGTTCGATAGAATGTTTTTATTACCGATAATCATCACAGGAACGTCGCGGCACGTCGATTCGAGAGCCACTGACGCCGAGCCTGCTTTCATCTGCTTCCAGGTCACAGAGCGCACACGGTGTATGTGGGCGTGCATCTGCCAGGCGAAAGGAGACACCGTCGCCATCACAAGCACCATCATTCCCAACGTCAAACGTACAGTGCCGATAAGGAGAATGTCGACAACGATAGGCCCAGTAAGTTCTTTCTCCTTTGCTCGCGTTTCTGCTTCGCACATACATATGTAGGCAACCTACCCTCGTTTGTTTTTCACCCTACGTTCGATCTTATCCCGCGTCGCAGACCTCAATTGTTCCGGATCGTCTATTTATCGGATCGAGCAAAAGGGCTGGCCTTGTTTTTTTTTTTTTTTCTTTCTTTCCTTCCCTCGCGTCTAACGTTTCCCCTATGTGGTCGGTTAACTCGTAGAATTCCACGCCCGTCGTTTCGGTAAAACGATCGATCGGTTAACGCACTCTGTCTCGAAACCGAGAGAGAACCAATATAATCTCGTCTGGTCCGATTCCGACACACATGTATATACGCGTGTGTGTGTTTTCCAATGGGTAAAGGGCAACCGACGTTCTCCGGCGTAATCGATAACCACCGCGAATAGAAACGGTAGACAAATGTCCTTTGTAGGTCACGAATTTTCGAGGCTAAAGTAGTACTCCACGCTTTCTACGCCGTGCTCGGTTAATCGTTCTCGTGCGGCTTCGAAGAGATCCACTCGTGTGCCGACGAACGAAAGCCACTCGAAGCGGTGATACGAAGAGCTGGAAACTTCACAGCAACTTCTTGGCTCCGAAACGTTCGCGTTAAGATGGCCGAAACGTCGTCTGAAAAAGTTGTTCGCGCGGCCATTGTCGCGAATGAGAAATGAGACTGCCAAATGATGCTGAAACGAGCTGAAACTCTTTCGAACGGTGTACGCGCCCGTCCAACAAACGGATCGTAACACTTTGAGAACTATCGGGATGGTTTCCATTAGCGGCGTCGCGTCAAGTAGCTACCGTAGAAACGACCGTGTAAACGTTCCACGGTATGTTACACTTTGCGGCGTTATTGAACGGTATGTGGCAACCAGCCAACCACTTGTCACGACTTCTCCGGCTGTTCACCCTACCTTTGGCACATCGGATGCAAAAGGGTGACCGATATCGAGGCCCGACAAGGGCTTTCCAACCCTTCTCTCGGGTGGTACACCGCAGCCAGTCCTTACGAGAAGGATACGTAGGAGAAAACGTTGACAATAGATTTCTACGGCGAATAATTAAATTTAGATGAATTAGATAATTACGAGTTGAAAAATAGGACGCATTATTCTAATCGATTTAGGCTTTAGCAGGAATTGAGAATCATTAAAGAGATTTGCCAACCTGGGAACAGAATCCAATTATCCTAGCTTTGATAGTAGTATAAACCTAAAGAAAGGTAGACTTTCTAAAGCGGGCGTTTGTCTTAAATTTTTGTAATAGAGAAATGTAATCTCTGTCAGATGTCTATAAAAGACATCTATAAAAAGAAATACATAAAATGTCTGAAATATAACATTTATTCGATAACATTCGATGAGTGAAACAAATCTTTGATTAGATTCTATCTCTTCAGCGGAAGGCAAAACATGGGACATATAATAATAATAAAAGAATGTATAAAATATTCAAAGTATGACACTTGTTCCAACAGGCGATTGAATCGAATCTCTAATTAGATTCGATTCCTTTGTTCGTTTAGTTGCACGTATACATCCGTGGTCCAACAATAATGAATCATTGATCTAGAAACGCGCAATCGTCTCGAATGTGACGATCGCAGTTCCACGATCCACAGCTTAATCCACTCGTCCCGAAAAATAAAAAAAAAATAAAAAACAGATTTATCTACGTATTCATTGGATAAGTCTACGATTTTTTTGCCTGACACGGTCGTTTAATCTCCGTTGACGTGAACGACTCGCGTCTCCTTCCCCGCCGCTCCATCATCCGTGTGACCTGCAATCGGCATTTTTAATTTCGTCCGGGATGAAGCTATTTGCGTCGCAGGCGTTCGGCTCTGAATATCAACCGAGCTAGCTGCAAGGTAATTTCTCGTTAATTCGAGGAGGTGGCCACGTGGCGAGGTCGAGGAAGCCATGGCGCGGAAGCTTTTTACACGATGTAAAATGCCGGGTCATCGTGAAACACCGACGTATGCGAAAATAGTAATCGGGTGGAATTTTTCATTGCACGTCGGACTAACGTCAATGATTGTTGTGTATCGTTGACGTTTCAGGACAATTGCTGATGACTCGAAGGAGTCGACTATCTAGTATCTGCGACCCCGACGGCGAGATGATACGTAAGCTGCAACACACGTAACAGAATTCTCTATGTATTCACGGACACACTTGTCAAGAGACCATTCGTACGTGAGGATCACGACGGCTCGAAAAAACAACGTCGTTCCCCTAAAATTTTAGCATTTGATACCCAATCGATATTTCTCCAATTGATGAGAGAAGTGATGGAGGAGAAAGGAGGCAGCGATTTAATTTAACACGGGGGGCGATTGCCACGCGAAAATACGAACGGAATTTTTGTAAAATAAAACGGCGTTACAATAAAAGCACGACGAATCATTCATTTCCTGGTATCCAGGTATTAATGATTTATTGTTAATTTAAAATCGTCTCGTCGGAGATATTATTTTTAAAATTCTGAAATATTTATTAACAGAATAATAGGACGGTCGTTCCGATAGTTTTGAAATACAAAATTTTAAAAATTCTGAAATAGCTATATCATCCGGTTTAATTCTAAAACAATCTACAGTATTTTTCATTGTTATTCATATTGTTTAAAATTTTTTCGTCGATGATAGGTAGACAGATTTCAGTTATTTAAAAATATCTATCTGGGAACAAGAATATCGCGTTGCAGTCAATGTGTTTAAAGAAATGACGAAGAGCAGTTCTATCCATAGGATTTTGTCAAGGCTAGCAACAGCAATTTGGCGGATAATTACGTTCGATTAGAACTTGTATACCTCGCGTTGTAGTATGATCCAACTCGAAGGAGATTAATATTTATCAGATGAAATCGTTCTCGTATACGATCGAATGATTCACATCTCGCCGCTGCATTGTTTATTGCGGTTACATAAAAGAGCGTTGCATTCATTAGCGTGACGCGACTGCGGATTATCTTCACGTCGTGCGTATTATTCCGCGAACCGAACATCATTGAATTTTCTTACGATGAAAGGAAGGAAATGCATCTTATAACATGTATTTCAAATCGGACATACGAATGGTCTCGATAGATATTTTACGATGTGACACTCATGCCACACTATAGAACAGCTTGCAATTATTTCAAAAAAAAAAAAAAAAAGAAAATTGAGGAAAAGATGTTACTGTTTTCATACGTGTTTTTCGTTTCTGACACTTCTTTTTAAGCGTGTGCATGCGTCATTATGCACGCATTACTTGCGTTGGTTATTCTGCACTGCTCGACTTGGTCCACCATACTTTTATCAAAGTAACGAGTTGCTCTTTGACTGCCTCGCACTTTCAGAGGCAAATTGTTCAACACTTTCCTTTTCAGAGTTCTACGTTTCACATTTTTTTCTCTTGTTACTTAGCGTGGTGTATGCACAATATTCTTTCGTTCTTTCTATTACAAACAATTCGCTTTAATTGGCTGAAGATATCGTTCACTGCGCTCACAAAATACAAGTTTCAAAGTCCATTCGATAGTCATTCGAAGATGGTTCAAGGTCATGTCAGGATCAGTGCCATCCAGAAATCATTTCACCGTATCAATCTCATTTCAGTTTATAATCATCTCGAGGTCGTGCACAGGTCATTTATATTTCATAGCGATATTCACTTGAAGTTCGTTTCAAAGTTATCTGAATTCGAAAATGAAATTAATTCCAAATCATTTGGCTAGATCGTTCCAATCAAGATCACTCGAGATCATTCAAAGATCACTGAGCTTCATTTCTATCCAGACTTTAAATCTCGACGTTTCAGTAATTCAAAATCATTTGACAACCGCTCTATGATTACTCGAAGCCATTCAAAGATCACTCGACGTCATCTCAATCGACTTTAAACCACGTTGCAAGTAGTTCAGTCAAGCATCTCGACATGCGACGTTCTGTCAGACGTTTACCCTCTTTCTCTGTTTTATATATATTATACATATATATATATATACGTATATGTATACAAGACGTTCCGTTTGTCCTGTTGCCAAGTGAAAAAGACCGGTGTTTTACGAGACGCGTGTGAAATTGCAGTTACACCGCCAGCCCAGAGGGTGCAGTTCATCCTGGGCGAGGAAGTCGGGGACGATGCACACGAGTCGCATCCTCTCTTCTCCGAAATGGAGGAGCTCGTCAGGGACGGCGACGAGATGGAATGGAAGGAAACGGCCAGGTAATCTTCGACTCCTTGTTTGACTTCTATTCTCGACGATGAGACGAAGTCGTCGCTTCACCCTCGACAGAGACAGACACATATAATATTTATCTTGACATTTTCCATCAAGGTGGATCAAGTTCGAGGAAGACGTGGAAGAGGGTGGAAATAGGTGGAGCAAACCTCACGTAGCGACTCTCTCGTTACACGCTCTGTTCGAGCTGAGGAGCCTGCTGTTAAATGGAACTGTGATGTTGGACATGGAGGCGGCCAGTTTGGAGCAAATCACCGATCTGGTTCTCGACAACATGATCAACAAGGGCTCCCTGCCGATCGAAGCCAGGGAAAAGGTATAGACGGAGGGTCGTGACTCTCTTCCCGTGTTTTATCAAACGCTTTCGGTCAGAAGTTTGAATGAGAAAGTTGTTTGAAACATACAGGTGAGGGAAGCTCTTCTGGTGAGGCACCGGCATCAACACGAGAGACGCAAAGACAACAACATGTCCAGGCTACCTATCATCAGATCGTTGGCCGAGATAGGTCGAAATCATTCCTCTTCGAAGAGTAAGTCTGTCATGTTAAAATTTCATTGCGTGTTAAATAATTCGATATCGTTTGAGAACAATGAATATGATTGGTTAACTCATTGAGCAACAATTTAAAAAGATTCCAAAAATATACAGATACGTGTACAATCATATTTATATTTTATTATTATTATATTAATGATGTTAATCAGTTTTTTATATTTCATAAAACAGAACATGTGATAAAAAAAAAATATGAAACGAGCTCCAATATTGAAAAGTAGAAATTGATTGAAATAGACTTAAATACGTAAATGAGATGTTTCGTCCTCAATGTGTCAACCATTTTACGATCTTACGATCTTAAATGACAAGTGGTCCCTCGATTATCCCAATTCAATCAAGCATATCTCCCTAGTTTAAGTTCTATTTGTTTGTACCTTTCCCTTTGCACAACGTTACATTACAATTTTTGAATAATTACCTGTTGTTATTTGTTCACTCGTTAATATGCCAAAGTTCAACAAGAATCGGACAAACGTAAATGGTACGTGACCCCAGTAGTCGGAAATATCCGGCGGACACCACGCACCGTCCAGAGTTTACCTCGCGCACTAAACGCGTGCAAAACGCTCGGCATTTTCAGATTTCAACTGTACATGTGGTTTGCATGCGTTGTTGACGTCAGATTTACAGGAGCGTCGCGACGCTAGGGACGCCTACGCGCCCTCCGTCGCTCGCAGCAGCAGTTGCCCAAATTCGAACACTGCTCTGCTCTCGAAAGAGGCGAAAGATCTGAAAGGACCGTACCTTCTAGTTCCAGGTATAATTACATAGGCCAGCCATTCCTAGGCAGCCTCCCCGATCGCCTTGGGTCACGGTGCTTTCGCAGCTTTCTACGTTCTCCCGTTCTCATTATCCAACAACCCCTTGCGCGCGTGTGTGTGTGTGTGTGTGTGTGTGTATGTGTATGTGTGTACTTACAAACAATTTCAACCTACTAATGAACGTCAACCTTTGCCCACGAACAATTCGTATGGACGTGCAGCCGAGACTCGATTCAGTTACCGTTCTGTGTAAACGATCTAGTACGATCTAACAGCAACGCGTGTACGTGGACAAACAAGTCCATCGGTGCATTGCCCGACTCGTCTCGTGGTACATGTCAACATTCACGCTTGTTTCTTATTTTTCAATCAGACGAATTCGGCATTCCCCACGTGGTCGGATTCACAACATGGTTCGCGATGTGTCAACTAAAAGGTTAGATTGTCAGGTGGTTATTGTTCTTATAAATTTTAATCGGTAGAGCACAAAGTCAGTGTCTTTCGTTCTCTCGTTTCTCTTGGCAATTCTCTCTTTCTTTTCTCTCTCTCTCTCTCTCTCTCTTTCTGTCTCTCTTTCTTTTCTCACTCTCTCTTTGTATATATTATAGAACCGTAATAACAATAACGATCTAATGTTTCTCGATTAAGAACGTCGATTACGCATCACCCACTATCCTTCTCTCTATCAACTTCTCAGTGTTTTACAGTAGCTAAGTATTTGCACGGAGAGGATTTATTATCGATCGGAAAGCGCGAAAGCAAATCCGGATGGACGCTCGCGTCTGATGAATGCCGGACGTTACTACTGCCGACCGTGACACGCCACACGGCACGGATACGAAGGCAATCCAAGCGATTCTTTTCACGATTCTCACGAGGTAGAAGCGATACAAAGGAAGTGCACGCTCGCGGGAACGCGTAGGTGAACCTTCGCAGTACTAATCGCGAGGCATGATCTCTCTAATTGTATAATATGCACGTGACTCAACGTATACACTTCAACTACTCGATATCATACTTTGTACTACTAACTGTACCACACACACTTTTAATCGACTAACTCTCTGTATTTTCAGCGTTCCAACTAATCTTCCTTCCCTTTCTTTCGCAATGCGAACAACTTTCGATTATTTTTTCCCCTTAAACGATAAGTATAATTGAAATGTCGCGAACGAGTTGCGCCTGCGAACTATTTGGAACTTGGACTATCCTGAGTCGAAAAATGAATACAGGTCGCAAATTTCTATGTGTAATTACCAAACAAAAAGTTGTAGTCTTTTTGGAATGTACAAACTTGTTTTTCAAGTCAAAATATTATAAAATTATAAGTATATCGCTGCAAAAAACTAGAAAGTTCCTTTTGATTTGTACGTAAGAACATATTATCTAAAATGTAGTGTACGATCTTAGTATCAATTAATTAAAGTCAATTTTGATTAGAAAGAACTTCAAACTGTTACCATATCTCAAACAATTTAAATTTTTTGAAATCCCTATATCTCTATTTGTAAATCAATAGGAACTTTTATTTCAAATCAATAGATTCTTTACAACAATGGTAATCAAAACTCGATCTGGAAAGTGAGATTTATAGAAAATTAAAACTTATTGAGAATCTCAAAGTAACATTTATACAGTTCAAAAACGTTGGATCTTTTCGTTTAGCATTACCAAAGGAAAAATATTCACAAAGCTTTACTTTAGGTCATCCTGTAAATAATGTTAGTTTTTTTACTTTAATTTCTAGTGCAAAAAAATTAATTGCTACAACCCTTTCCCATTTTTCAATTAACTTTTTATTAAGCAATTTCTTTCTAATTAAAAAATCATTCAACGTGGATTTTGCATCAAAATAGATTTATAATCTGTTGGTGAAAAATCAATTCAGTACGATAACTACGGTAAAAATTCTAGGTTAATATTTTTAATATTTAGTTTGTAGTATGACGGAAGTACTGTCGTGACGGAATAAAATTTCTTTACAATTCAATCTTTAGTTAAAATAAATTACATGCAAACAAGATGTGCATGTTTATATAAAATGAGACAGGAAACAATATTATTTATAGGATGACCAATTTTTGTCAACCCTTGGTAAGTTCCACGCGCAATCGTTCGCGAAACAAGTAGTGTATTGAGTAAAAATGGGACTTCCTTGCTCCTTGGTTCCTTCCTCTGTAAATAAAGGACGACCCTGGTGTGTGTTTCATGCTCATTTTTAGTGGAGGAATCGAATTCCGCCCCGGCGATCGCCGGCGCAACAAGTCACGGCAGTGGGCCAACGCTGAATGCCGGTAGCCGCTTCCTTGCCATACCCGGTAACCCCGGTAAACTGCTTTCTTTACTGTGCTTGGCACTTTTCTTACTTTCTAACGTAACGTACGCAGAGTACCCTCTCGTCGCCGTAGATTTTCCCGTAGAAAAGCTATGCAACTGCGCTCTTCCCTTTGACAACAGAATTTCGAAACGACGAGAGTGTCGCGAGTTGCGGGGAAAATCGCGAACGCTTCGCGCGACCATGGCGAACGTTTCTCGAGAGCAAGTGGTAACGCGGGAAATAAAATCGACTCTGTCCACGAGTGGCTTCAGCTGCTTGATTAATCGGAAAAGTTTGCCGTATTGGTTGGAATCCAGTGGTTCGAAAGGGTTGAATTACCGTGCTCATGACATTTAACGAAAACTTCGCCACGCTACTTCCGCAAGTGGAAGCCTTCGCATTGAGAGTCAACGCACAAAATAGAATTTGTAACAGAAACGCTGGAAGAAACTTAATAGAGCTTATTAAATATAGCTTCCACTCTATCTGTGATCTATTTCGAAGTACGATTAATCATTAGAGGTGTGCGAGAACTCGAAATATCGGGATCTGGACGTATACCCGAAAATTTCGAGATTCTCGAAAGATCCGGGATTTGGGAAAGGATTGGGAACAAGCTTAAATAATTCGTTAAAACCCACGCCTTCAACTATATCGAAAGGTCGCAGGTCTAGAACCATCGTTTGAGCAATTCCTTCTGTTACATCTTTAACAATCTTCCGCGACAAATTTTATATCGATTCAGTTTCTTTTCTAATACATATACTAATGTTTGAATGCACATGCTTCAAATGACGTAATAAACCAGTATTATGTGCATACTTAGTTTTAAATTCATGGTGACAATGCGTGCATTCCGCCTTTGTATCATCTTTTTCTTGAAAATGTTCCCAAACGGGGCTTCTCTTTCCCTTCTTCCTTTGCACGACATCTTCTGCACTACTTCCTGCTACCACAACTTTACTCTCACTATCGTTCGACACTTTTTTTAAAGATTTTTAATCTTTATTAAATTCACACAGATTTTGAAATATACGTCTGAACTGCCCGAATTTCTCAGCGATACTGCTCAACAGCGTACATAATGTCCAAGTACTAAGCACGCAGTCACACGTTTGTATACATCAGGTCGCACGATTCTTAGAATTCGTGTTTCCAATAACTGGCAGAAGAAATTGAACTATGTATTTACACATTTCGTAGGCTGCTATACAGCATTGTAGAATAGTTCGAGAAACGGTAGCCGGGTTCTCGAAATTCTCGGGAATCTCGACTCCTTCGGAGTCCTCAGGAAACCCGATTCCTTCGGGAATTTCGAAATTTTCGGGAATCTGACCCAATCCGGCTCGATCTCTTCCCGATTCGTCTCGACCATCGGGTTTTCGATATTCTCGGGTTCTCGCACACCCGTATTGAATACTGTCTAATTTATGTAATACATTACGAATGTTGATACTACTTCTTTGCCGTGATTCATTCTAAAACACGTATTGATCAATTCCATATGCTGAAGACCATATGACGATGTTACAAAAATTGTTGATTTTAATCGACGACCAGGCGTCATTTTCTTAAGAACTCATGAAAGTAAATCATTTGTTTCTTGAGAGTTGAGCGTCGAATCCATTATTTACGTAAGGAAATTACGAAAATTGGAGTTTTTTCAACGTGAAGTTTGGCCTTAAAAGGCACATCACAGGTTTTTCATTGCTCTAGAGTTTGTCTGACGTTCTTATAATTTCATAGCAATTCGCTTCTTTTCTTTTTTAAATATCCTTCGATGCCAGGTCCGTTGAGCAATAATTCAGTTTCCTTAGAAACGTGGCTTATCGCTTAAACTTTCCTTCTTTCGTCCGTCACTGTGCCGTCGTAAAACTCTCGATTCTTCATGGTCCGGCCGAAGTTTCTGGCGTCCGGTTCCCGCAACTCGGAAACGCTTTCGACACGTGGACGTGGGCTGCGACTTTTAACAGTTCTGCGGACAGAGATGGTAATTGAGAGGAAATGGAAAACTGTGCAGCCTCCTCTCGGTTACGATACCCACGCGGCTTCTCGTTGTAGTTTACCTTGGAAAAAGACTGTAGGCGGTAAGCTAGATCTCTTTCAGGCCAAGAACCAGGCAGCAACGGGATGGACCGGAGTCCAAGCAGCGTATCAATTAGTCGGAATCACAGTTCGTCCGCCTTGGAGAACGGGGACGCGAATCACAAGGTTCGTAGACACTAACGACCGAATTTGGACTGGCCAGGCAGAAAACTGTTATTTGCATTGTGCTGTCTTCATCAGGGTAATACTCATTTTATGCGGAAAATACCAGCTGGGGCCGAGGCGAGCAACATTCTCGTAGGGGAAGTGGATTTTTTAGATAAAACTCTGTCAGCCTTCATTCGGCTAAGCCAAGCGGGAATAATGGGCGACTTGACGGAAGTTCCTGTGCCAACAAGATTTATATTCGTCCTGCTCGGACCTACGGTAAGATTCAGATCAGAAATCTTGTCAATAAATAGAATCATTTCGCTTTGGATATTTATTTTATACGTACTGCATTTTGTCATATATATTTTTTTATTTTATATGTTTTTAATTTATTTTATAAAGTATTAGGTTTAAAATAAATATAATAAATATAATAAACGTAATCAAGTAATTAACGCTAGAATTACCGACGACTAAAGCATAAAAATTTTATCGGAGAAATTAGAGCGCAAGGAATAGGAGAACTTCTATTCGTATATTTTATAAAAATCATTCAAATCTCTAGAAATCTACCTTGAAAGTTTGCAGAATTGCTCTAAACAATTATAAATTGGTCACTTGGACCACTACTTTGGTAGTTCCAGTGTTAAAATATAAAGATACAATAGTATAAATATCTAGTCCACTGTACTTTGATTTGAAAAAAAAGATACAGACTCGCCAAAATTTATGTTACGAGTGAATTTAATTGCTAAAGACAACCTGGTGATAACGTCAGGTATTTTCGAATCGAGAAGTACAAAGTAGAGATGAAACCTGACTATTCTAGCAACTGCATCGATATCAGTTCCCTCGAGAATCACGGGGCTGTACTTTGTAAAAAAAATCTTAATAGAAACGCTTTGTCAATAAGTAGAACCACTTCGGTTCGGATATCAATGATAGCATGCATCGTTGGCAGAACATTCAATTGTGTACATTTATCAACGGGGACGTAGATTCTCGATTAACTCGATGAAAAGCTCCTTTCGCGTAATTAAGGTTTTAACGAAGCAATTGTCTACGCTGATTGCCTGGACCATTCTCGGTCTCGAAAGACCGATGCACAAAGCAATTTTTACCAAAGCCCCGACGAGAGTTCGATTATCGTTTCGAAATCTCTCTGTTTCTCGATCGACTCCCCAATGATTTCTCGCGTTTCCTCTCCAGGAATTGTTTTACCTTTCATTTATCGATCATCGTGAAACGCGAGATTATTGAAACGATATCCTTTCTGCATCCGCCGAACGGAGATATTGGACCTGGAAGTATTTTAATTGATTCAAATGCGCCGGTAGAATTCCTTTGACATAAACGAGAATGAAATAAGAAAAATTGAATGTCGGTAATGCAATAATGGTATAAAATTGAGATAACGAACAGTGACATTTTTAGAAGAAGTGGAAAAACGAAGAAAGTAATCTCTTAACCAATTGAAGATCAACGTTTCAGTCGCAATTTGCTTTAAGCTATTCTAGCTTTTATATTGTGAAGTGAAATTCCAATGGATCGGTACTTTCTCGGTAATTTTATGAAACTTCAAGAAATTGAAGTACCCTCGATAAATAAATAATTATATAATTTTTGCTCGATCCTTGCACGAGTTAAAAACGCAGGAATAAATACACTTCGTTTTAATTTGTCAGTATTCTATTCATTATAATTCTATTTCGAGGAAGGCCAAAAATCGGCCAGATTTTTCATGTTTCTTTTAATTCTAAAACATGGTACATTGGAGATCATAACAATTTAGGATTTTAAATTAATTAATTTTGCTCTAAATTTTTGTAATCATCTATACTGCTCGAGAGTTAATCCTTCATTTTTCTTTAATCGTAGGGAGGAATCACCGGTTTTCACGAGATCGGCCGCGCTATGGCGACCTTGATGTCCGACGAAGTCTTCCACGACGTGGCTTACAAAGCTAAGAACAGAAACCATCTGCTTGCCGGAATCGACGAGTTCTTGGACGCTGTTACGGTTTTACCGCCAGGGGAATGGGATCCTACGATCAGAATAGAACCGCCTGCCGCCATTCCTTCGCAGGTAAAGTATATGTCGAGAAATTTCACAAAATTAATCCTTTCTCGAATTTATAGTTTATATTATTTATAAATGGTCCCCTGGAGGGAGAAACTTTTTCAGAGTTGAAGATATCAACTTATGTTCACTTATTTATACCTATACAAAATTTGTAGATATTACTATTAGTCTTTTATATATTTATACTATTTAGACCTACTTGGAAAAAATGTTTTCCAGAATTGAAGAGATATCAATTATCATCAATTAATCACACAAATAGAGATACTTAAAATGTTAATATCTTTGCATCTTCCACGCCGATCGATTTGTTCAGGATGTAAGAAAGCGACCAAAGGAGGAAAAACCGAAGGAAGAGCTGGACGAGGAAGCGGACGAGCAAAAATTGAGGGAGGAATCCGGTCTCTCGCGAAGCGGCAGGCTTTTCGGCGGTTTGATAAACGACGTAAAGAGGAAAGTGCCGTTCTACTTCTCCGACTTCAAGGACGCGTTGGCTCTACAATGCGTAGCCTCTTTTATCTTCCTGTACTTCGCCTGCCTCTCGCCTATAATTACGTTCGGTGGTTTGCTCGGCGAAGCAACCGGCAAAAACATGGCTGCGATGGAGTCGCTGGTTTCCGGTTTTGTTTGCGGTATCGGCTACGGATTTTTCTCTGGACAACCACTCACCATTCTCGGCTCCACCGGCCCAGTTTTAGTCTTCGAGACGATAGTCTACGAATTTTGCAAGTGAGTATGCCCCCACCGATACGTGTCACAAAATGATCCCGATGAACGATGTCGTTATCGTTGCAGGAAATCGGATTGGAACTACATGTCGTTTCGCTTCTGGATCGGTTCGTGGATAACCCTGATTCTTCTGATTCTCGTGGCGATCGATGCCAGTGCTTTCGTGTGCTACATCACGCGATTCACCGAGGAGAACTTCGCCACCTTGATCGCGTTTATCTTCATCTACAAGGTACGTGATTCGATGCTATTCCTGGCGATGAGTTATCCCAATCGAACGCAATTATTCGGAAGCATTCGAAAACATTGGAATCGTTTCACATTCGCGAATTGAATTCAAATCTTTTTTAAAAAAGTATGCGACTTGCGCGCACTTTGTGCCTCGAAGGTTTCAATTTGTCGATGGTTTTCCAAACAATTTCCAATTGCTTGCGTTCGATGGAGAACTTCTCCATTCAGGAGTGTATCAAACAAAGTTCCGTTCGATTCTCGTCGCCTTCTTAATTGCGCAACCGTGTCCTTCTGTCGCCGATGCGGGTTAATTGGATGTGGTGTAACGGTGTGTGCTTCGCGAATCGCGGCATCAGCGAAATCGCCGGCATTTGGGTCACGAATCGCACGGTATACGCGTTTAATGAAAGCGTTCTCCACGGGCTTCGAAACCGCTGGACGCAAGCTCGATCAGCCTCGATCTTGACTAAAAAAAGGTGGCAACGACAATCGAACGCTCTTAAACTTTAATTTGTCAGCATTTAATCGAGAATATTTTAAAAGAAAGAGGGAGGGAGGGAGAGAGAGAGAGAGAGAGAGAGAGAGAGAGAGAGAGAGAGAAAATCTAAACTAAGGATTCGCGTGTTTCAGGCCATCGAAAACGTATTGTCCATCGGCAAGAAGTACCCTTTGAACACTCACGCGAACGAGCCGTTCAACTACGAATGTTGGTGTAAACCGCCGAATGGCAGCCTGCCGTCTAGCTACGACAACGTTAATTGGACGGCGCTCGATCAAAAAACATGCCAGGTTAATTGAACAATAACGTTAGAGCTACTCGTTAGACGAAATTACTAACTGCAACCCGAGGCACCTTGATCTTAAGACCGACCGCACGGTCTGACTCGGCGCGGTGTTGTACCACTTGATGAGAACGTCGTTAACTTCCTTTCAGAGTTACAACGGCACGCTGATGGGCGACGGTTGCAACCTACCGCACTACATACCCGATGTGTTCCTCATGTCAATTATACTATTCATGGGCACATTCTTGTTATCCATCGAGCTCAAAGATTTCAAGAACGCTCTCTTCTTTCCGTCGAAGGTATGTCACACATCGATCGCCACGCGATAACGTCTGTACACGTTTGCTACATATTATACTATACGCGTGTTCTTTGCACTTTTAACTTTTTCTAATTTTAGCATAAACACACGAGAATCCGATTTTGTATAAAATGCATAAAATCCAATCATCGATTTATACATATTTGTTCCGTACCAGAATTCCAAAACGGAATTTACTGACCACGGCGTTAGTATCCCTTTACGAATACTAACTGGTTCAAATGTTCGTCTCTTTTTTATACTATTGTCTATATTATTAATTTTTTATTAGTGTGTTATATTTAGTACATTAATTGTATAACGTTGTTGTCTCTACGGATTCCTTTTCATGACTGATTCTCACGAATCTTCCAAACGTTGTCGATTGTCTTTTGACTTGGAGTGTAGTGTGCGTACGTGGGTGTATGAGATGTAAGGCGAGGCGAGTGTGGATGATGGTGTGTCATAGTGTGTGAGACGGAACAATATTCGCGAGTTCAAATATAATCTAGGGACAAAATTTCATACGTCGCGTGTCATCATTCAGGTCAGGCAGGTGGTGAGTGATTTCGCGGTGATCATCGCGATATTTTCGATGAGCACGCTCGATCATATCGTGAATATCCCGACGCCGAAGCTCGAGGTACCGGAGGAATTCAAGCCGACGTTGGCCGATCGGGGATGGATCATCTGGCCTTTTCAAAGTAACCCGTGGTGGAGCGCCATCGTCGCGTGTCTGCCAGCTCTCCTAGGCACTATACTGATTTTTATGGATCAACAAATTACAGCGGTGATAGTCAATAGGAAGGAGAACAAGTTAAAGGCAAGTTTCTACCCCTCCATCTCCAAAACGATCCGCAAGTGTCGATTAAAATGTACCGTTCGCATTTAGAAAGGATGCGGCTATCATTTGGATCTGTTCATTCTCGCGATCCTCATCGAAATCTGCTCGGTAATGGGATTGCCTTGGTTCGTCGCGGCGACCGTACTCTCCATCAATCACGTGAACTCGTTGAAGTTGGAATCGGAGTGCGCCGCACCCGGTGAAAAGCCACAGTTCCTCGGTGTCCGCGAGCAACGAGCCACCCATATCTTGATCTTTTTGATGATCGGCTGCTCGGTGCTGCTCACGCCGATGTTGAGACACATACCGATGCCAGTATTATTTGGTGTTTTCCTTTACATGGGAGTTGCTTCGCTAAAGGGGCTGCAATTTTTCGACAGGATTCTGATCATGCTGATGCCGGTTAAATATCAACCCGACTATATGTTCCTCCGACAGGTAAAATAATTGAACGCTGCGTCATTCATGCGCTGCTGAAAAGGGATCGGATCTTCTGTAATTGTTGTACAATTGTTGCAGGTACCGTTGAAGCGAGTTCATCTGTTTACAACGATACAATTGACTTGTTTGGCCTGCTTGTGGATCATTAAATCCTTCAGCAGCACGTCCATTCTGTTCCCTTTGATGGTTAGTCATTTACAGAAACCATTTGTCTCGCGTGTAACAAACGAATCCGAGCTTTAATCCTGTATTCTTTATCTAATATCCAATACCAGTATGATCACGTGTGTATTTAAATATAGCGTTGGACATTCGAAAGTATATTTTGTTTCAAAATTGGAGATATTAAATGTGCTTTTATGTTAAGAAAGCAACATTTGAAAGTTTCTGTCGCAGTAAAAGTCGTTCACCTGTGATATTCGGGAATTTTCAAAACCAAAAGTCGCGTACTAAAAGACGTGTATTAATCCTTAATTTCTTAATACACGTCCCAATCTCCAGTTTATCAAACACCAACAAACTAAAATCCCGTACGAATAAATAAACATAAAGACAAAATTGCACAGTTTCCTAATCCAAAAGATATTTTTAACGCAGTTTTCTAATCAAACGATATTTTTACGCAGTTGGTGGTGATGATCGGTATACGCAAGTCTTTAGACTTGATGTTCACTCAACGCGAGTTGAAGATCCTGGACGACGTAATGCCGGAACCGAGCAAGAAACACGCCGACGATCTTCGACAATTGGAGAGCGGCGAGGTTAGCACCATGAGACGAATACTAAATACCATCGTTGGTCGTAAATAGCACGAAAAGAGTGATCGCGTGGCGAATATCTGCCCCGTGGTCACTGTCTGCGACTACGACAAGCCCGCGTTTTGCCGAAAACACGACGAACGCAGCGCGATATATTAACGATCGATCGTGTGCACGTGGCCTAAACTTTGCTACGCGTATTTCTAGAAAACAAGTTCACCTCGCCCGTCGTTCTTATCGCTGTTCTCGTTAACGTCCCTCTCGGTTCGAAGCAATAATAATTCGCCACTAAACGTGCCTGAACGTGACAGAAATTTGATAGAAATAAAAAGAAAATGTCTCGACCAAAAGTAAATCCTCTCACGTCGCGCACGACTGCGCCTGCCAAAATACTCCGACCAGTATTAATAACGCGTAATGGTTGTTCCTTCGAATAACAGCATTTTGGACATTGGATTATTTTAAATTTCGAAACGTAGATAAACGTTGTTATTGTAGCTCAATTACTAAACAGATAAATAGATGATTTATAAATAGATGATTTATACCATTGAAAAATTCGTAAACTTTACTTATCTTTCGCCGGCCTAGAAACGTTTTAATGAAACGCAGAACGAATCTTCTTTTTTCTTTTCTTTTTTTTTTTTTTTTTTCTACTGACAATGAATTTACGAAACGTCATGATCGTTCCGTGACAATGCAAAGAAGCCAATCGTTTCAAACTGTGCCAATGTTTCGGCTACATATTCGACACACATGTATCGGCTCGATGTATCGTCGAACACGGATTGCCTATACCTTGACATATGAAAATACATTATTGTTTAAGAACACACACAAATCTCTCTGTAATCCCAGCTCTTCCTTTACGTAGCATTTACCGACACGTTTGACACACAGTACACGAGTCAAACACACTCCGTTTGCATGCAATCTCCGAAGTCCCCGGACATACTATAGAACGTCAGACTACACGTTGGATTAAAATTAAATGAATCTTCCGATATCGAATGGAAACTGTCCCCACCTTTTTCGACAGATAATGTATTTCCAAGCACGAGATTCCTGTAAAAACACTGTAACTTAAATGCGCGGAAGTCACGGAAACGCACGTGATTTTTCGGATGAGAAAACGAAAACAGGGAGAGGAAAATGTAAAAAAAAAAAAAAAAAGAAAAAACGGTAAAGTTCACTCAGAAGTCGGACAATCAAGGGAAAGTCGATGTGGAAATGCCAGGGACATAAAGGTACCCAGTGGTCGTCGAATCCTGCGGCTATCATCGGTACGTGACCATAAGCGCACGTCCATAGCATCGAGAATAATTTTAACATTTATATATATAAATCCCTCCCTGCTGAAGATCACACCTTTAATTACGCATTAAAACTTCAGACGTCGTGCACTGCGATATATTTTAAAGAATAATAAACATCAATATAATAACAATATGATCGCAAATCGCGGCGACGATGTCACAGATCTCGAACATCGTTCCAGCGATTCGCTCCGTTGATACTGTAATTCGTGTAAGGTGTCACGAAAGAAAGAAATGAAAAAAAAAATAAAATAAAATAAAATAATTGAGGTGATTCGGCTCTGCACGAGTCACGAAGGCTACTCTTCCATGCGATACCTGCTCGTTCTCAGCCGAATGCAAATTTCACTTCCTTCTCTTTTTTTTTTTTTTTTCTTTTTGTTTTTCGTCTTCCAGCTCGAACGATGCTAACCGAAATACTGCTTTTATTACCAACGACCCACCGTTCTTCGAGGCTCTGTGGAGTACGGTAGTAATTAAGAGTAATGCCAAGTTCCGATGCATGGCTTCGTTTGTTTCCTTTTCCCGTGACGAACGAGAAACAAAGCGTAAAGCTGAATTTGCGATTTGTCCCTTAGGAACAGAACGAGTCCATGGGATACGGACCGTCAGGAAATATACAGATCTCGTTAGCGAACGGCAACATCATGAAGATCCCGATGGCGAGCATCAATATTAGCGAGGAGGTGAACAAAACCGGGATTTGGCAGCAAGTGAACGAAGGGAACGACAAAATGAAACAAGTGAAACTGATCAAGTACGTGTAGTCGATCACGATCAGAATCGGGCAAAACGTAATCTGACTAATCAGGCTGATATTTAAATAATTGGTAATCGTTGATCAATGAAGAAAACGAGTCATCAGACATTATGATTAATTTAAGAATCATGAAATAATTACATTTTTTATTGTACTCCATTCGGTACAAACTAATTATTTTTTTACTACATCCGAACTATTATATACTGAAGTGAACGATTTGCAAGTTTGCATTATATGATAACTATTGGAGAGGTACTTGTGAAACATGTCTCGTTACATTTTTAATCAAGAATACAAAAGAGTTATACATTTTTTTCTTATAATGTATATCATGCAATGTTCATTGTACAAATATACATTATTAGTCGTAATAAACTATAAATTAATCGTTGCTGATTAACGATTACAAGTTACGATAATTATTCATGTATCTTATTGATGTGTCTTAACAATGATTTATCGATTAACGATTACGATTGCATTGGATAATTTCGATTACAAAAGAAATCGATTAATTGCTCAATTCTGATTACGACGTGAAAAAAGACAGAGAAACAAACGTTGTTAAATTGTCTCTGGAATCTAGCGCGGGAAAGCAAAAGAAGCATTCGAAGAAAGAGAACTCGTTGATGGCCGACGAGACTACGAGGCTGACTACGATGACCGAGGAGGACGAAGACGACAGTGGGATCTCTATCAAGGTGACAAACGTAAATGACTCTAAATTCTAACCACCAACCACGATCACCAAATTGATAAATCACATGGCAAGTCACACAGCAAGAGCACCAATACACCGGCATGCAACATACCCTCTGTACGCTACTGTGAGTAAGAGTATAAAAGGGGGCTGCACGGAACCCTCGGAGCCGTCTTAGATAGATCTCTCCTTAGGAACGACGACGGCTCTGTTAGAGAAGAAGACCCACTCTCTCAAATCTATTCTCGATTGTATCCGACGCATGTTTAAGTTGCAGCATGCAGTGTACGCCAATAAGTATTCAAATAGAAGCAAACAGAAAAGATTTCAGTGGATTTGATCTTTCTATATTGTACATACGTATATCCAAATATCACGATAAAGTCGGATGAACTTCAATTCCTGCATGTTTTCGACTTCGTCGTTTGCACTGTTATAATTCACAAGTCAATTATTTGCATGCATTTTCGAGTGCAATTTCACGTGTCTATTTCTGAATGAGGAAATTCGCGAGACGATAATTAGCCTTTCGCGAGATAACAACGCGATCTTGCAACAGATAACGGCAAACTGTTGAATTCAAACGAATATTTACCATCGCGAGTCTTTCGAAGATTCTCGCGCACGTAGATGCTTGTAACGATCGGCTTCTCGTTCGCGTGTTTCGCGAAATTATGCGAGATGTTTGGTTTAATCGTTTCAGGTAGACTTGATACGCTCGAAGGAAAGCATCAGCCCGTTAACGATTAACGGCACTACCTCGGCCGAGACTTCCGTCTAACGAAAGCAACGCTACATTGGGAAACGATCGCTCGGTCGTTTAACTGAAGATTTTTCCGTTTTCTCTTTGGTTCCAGCTAAACGATACAAAGCACGTCTCGATTTCCATCGTACGCGTTATGGTAAAAAGGAGTAATTGTCATACGAACAATATTTTATAGAAAGTAAAGTCGCATACGAGGCTGTCTCGTCTAATCGCGTTGAAAACATGGACGAGTGCAATTAACGAGTGCCCATTAACAGATACCTAGATGTAGCTGACATGAACGTTTTATTCGTAAGGAAGAAAGAGAGAAAGAAACGTACACGCACACCGTTGAAATTTAAAAGTAGAGCGTTCTAGGTTTAAGAGCCCGGATCCGACTGATAAAGTCGACGCGTGAATTATCAGTGCTGGATCTCGAATTTATTCTTATCAGTGTGCAGTTACGTATACTTGTAATCTAGCGATTGTATGGATTAAGTAGTTTACGCCCATAGTGAGTACGCCAAGAAAACCCCTTCGATATATCGACGTTTCCTTCGAGGGATGTCTCGCAGAGATAACGCTTGGCCGATAACGCGTTCACGATCGTAGAAAAACCGCCGAAGAGGATGGTATTACTCCCATTCGTTTTCCACCGCTCGTGTAACGCTAGCAACATTCCTCCGGCTCTATTGGATTTTATTAAAATTGTCCAAATTTCCAAGTACGTCGAATACCGGCCCACAGCGACAATATATTATACGATAAATATATAGCGCATTTTTTACGCCGAGAATAGGAAAATTTTTATCGCGTGAAAAGGGGAAATTCACACGCGAGCAGGGATTAGAGAAAAGTTTTTCATGTTTTCTATCGAAATTTTAGCACGACTGAATTTTTCCATGCGTAACGCCGTCCCTTGAAGGATGTCCTTTCCGTTCGAAAAAAAAGGGAAGCGAACAATGAGATTTTTATCGTACTGCAGTCTTTCAGATAGCGAGTGCAACGATCTCCCGATTCTTGAGAGTTTTAAGCGAACGTGGCGCGGATCGTTACACCAGTAAGCTGTTATTTTTTTCCCTTTTCTTTTTTTTTTTTTTTTTTCTTTTTTTTTTTCTTTTTTTTTTTTGTTCGATGGAAGAAACGTCAGGAAGGAA